TGCTGTGGGGTTACAAACGAGAGGAAGAAAGATGGGGGTGCAAGAGGGCCGGTCGGACTCTGGTCTGAAGGGCCGAGAGTGACAGGAGGTCCGCTGTGTGCTAAGTGTTCGAACGTCTGTTGTTCGTTGCAATCCTTAGTTGTTCGGATCGTTGGAGTGTGTTGTAGTTGTCGTCGGATCGATCCTGTTTTTTGGGAGAGAGCGCATCCCCTTTTATAGATGAAGGGGACGGACTTTACAAGTGAGATAGAGAGACTGAGAGTATGTATGTTACTAAGTCTGGTTGCCCACGCCGTCGGGTACAAGATGATGGTAGGCGGCCACAATACTGTTTGTGTCAGATGCATGTGGAAGGTTTTACCGTATTCACCATGTATGGCAAACGACGGCGCCCACAACACTGTCGATGCCCAGAGACATGTGGGGGTTTTTACCGTGTTCCCCTGGTATGGGAATTGATGGCGCCCACAACACTATAGGGCAAATCGTCGGCGCCCACAACACTCCTTGAGTTCGGACATGCCTGGAAGGTTGCAGGGCACCCTTCTGACATATCCTGTTGGCACTGTCCTGCAGGTGTACAGGGTACGGTCCTTGGTTTCGCGGTTGACTTGAGCGTCCTGCTTTACTTGCTCCGCCCGTTTTCTGGTCCTCACCGAGCGGGCATCCCCGGTCGGTTGGTCCCAGTCGGCTCCGACTGCGTCAGTCGGAGAGGAGCTATAAGCAGAGGTTCGGTGTATCCCCGGTCGGAGACGCGGGTCGGAGTCGGAAGCGTCGTTGGCCAGGCCTTCCGGTCGGAGAGGCGGGCCGGAGTCGGAAGCGAGGCCTTCCGGTTGGAGAGGTGGTCCAGAGTCTGAAGCGGGCGCCGTTCCTCCTTGGTCAGGCCTTCTGGTCGGAGATCGGATCACCCTTCTGGCCTATCGTTAGGTTTTTAGGCCAGCCCAGGAGTTACGCGTCGTTTGCAACGTCGTCTGCTGGGCCAAGCTTTTGCTGGGGAGCAGGTCCATGAGGGACCCCGGGTTTATGAACCCGACACGTTCTGTCAGACGCAGTGATTCGGTGGTCCCTCAGCATCTCATCCAATAGAGTGACTTGCCATCTGAGATGGCGACTTGGGAGGACGCCACGATGCTATCGGACAACCTGTTGTCGATGCAAGTGTGATGTTGTCGGATCTGCTACAGCTTGAGCACAAGCCACAAGCTCTTCTTCAAGCGAGGAGTGTTATAGCTCATGGGCCTTGGGATTGGTATAGCGTAGTGCAGGGGCGGCGCCAGGGGTATTTCCCTGTATGCCATGGAATACCCAAGATTTTTTAAATAAACACAAATACATATATGTATACGTATAATGGTATAACTTGTATAGTTGCCAGATGTTGCAAATCTAGCCCAAAGCCCAACAGAAAGCACCGATTATCAGCTCACCAAAGTAAAAAAAGAGCGAGTCATTTCCTGGCTGCCGCTCGCATCGCATCAATCTCGTCTGGAGGCAGCGAGGAACGGCGCAGAGATAGCCAGAGAGCAGGACGGAAGGAAGGGATCCCATCGGCATCGGCGACGGCGAGCCTCATGGGCAACAGCGCACGGGCGGCACGCCGCAAAGCCCCTCCCTCGGCCATTGCCCCTTCCCTTGGTCCTCATAACCGAGCGGCGAACGCGACCTGCCATCTGAGCGCCCAGCCCTGGCGAGCTCCGGGGGCGGGCGCGCCCGACGCTCCGCAGCCCGACGCCACGGTTCGCCTGCTTGTCTTGAGGCCTTGAGCCTTGAAGGTTGTTGAAGCAAGGTGAGCACACTAGCACAACAGCTGTTGAGCAATTGTCAAAACTCAAATCGGCTCACTATGTACATTTCTCATGTGCGTAGAGATGAAAGGTTTAGAAATTTGAAGAACCTATGCCACTATGTTTAGATCTTGTACTTTGCTTATTACTATTGCACATTTAGATCGAAAATTTTTATGTACGCGAAATACCCAGGTGTGAAATCCTAGGTCCGCCACTAGCGTAGTGGGCCGCGTATGTGCGCGTTGGTGTAAGCGTGGAGTCGGTGATTGGCCAGTGGTGCTTATAAGTTGAGCCTTTGTAAACAGAACAATCATCGAAGAACCGCTGAATCCGTCCTAACTATCCGTCCCACGAATTCTGCCGTATTCCTTCCTGTTCTCCCCAACTTCTCGCTACGTTTCCCTCTCATACTCCTTTTAGCTAATGCGTACATCATTGTGTATGTACGTACTAATTTTGTCTCAATAAAAGCTGTATGGGAAAGGAGCAGATCGACCGAGCAAGGTGTGTTGGAATTTGATTTTTGTTCTCTCCTTCTGGAACTCTGAAATTGTTCATGAATGCGGGTAACATCCGTCTCATCACCATGCTTATCCATATCGTTGATGTGGGTCCATTCTTTTTCTTAGCCCGTGTTTAGTTGATCGAGTTTTGGAATTTGGGTTACTGTAGCATTTTCGTTTTTATTTAGCAATTAGTGTTTAATCATGAATCAATTAGGCTTAAAACGTTCATCTCGCGATTTCCAACCAAACTATGCAATTAAATTTTTTTCGTCTATATTTAATGCTCCATACACGTATCACAAGATGGCTACTGTAGCACTTTTTAGGAATTTAAGTTTGAAACTAAACGCGGCCTTAGAAAAAAGGCCCACTTAACTGGTAGTGGTACTTTTTTATGTAAAAAAATTATATTATTTATTACCATTAATGTTAGCATTTACATCTGCGTGTTACGAAGTTCTCTGTTTAGCCACGCATCCATTTTATCCTCGTAACAGCAAGGAGATATTCACCGCCTTCAAAAAAAAAATGCATCTTCCTTCTATAATCTTTTTTTCTTGAACTTACCTGTATGGCCTAAAACGCGAAAATCTCTTCCTTCTATGGCCTCCCGTCCAATTCAGGCTACCGACGATGTTAAGTGTGAGATAAAATGACGTTGCTGCCCCTTTCGTTTCCAGAGTTAGAATGCAAGATTGCATGGACTGTTCTGTGGACTGGGTGAAAGGGTAGGGGCCCTTTTAATCTTGACCACATATCAGAAGATGAATGGCTCAGGTCCACAGGTATGTATAGTATTTCTGGTGTATTTTGGATTTATTCTTCTGAGAAAAAACGGTCAGATGACATCACGTGTTCACCATAGGCATTGCTCGGCCGCACGTTTGATTCGGCGCAAGCACAGCAGCGCACGTGCGTGCATGTGTGCACGAGGAGGGCGCACAGGCCTTAGCACTCGGCTCGGGCGCTCGGCCATGCATGGGACCGCCTCGAAGCTCTGCTCCAGCAGTTGCACCTGCTCAGCCATCAGACGGAGAAGGCGTTGCTGGTGAGCAAGATGTTACGTAGGGAGCGGAGCGGCCAAAGAGCCCCTCCGAGATGGCACCGGCGAAGGCGTTGGCGTTGACGTCCAGCGTCTGGAGTGCCGGGAGGCCGGCGATCTGGGCAGGGACGTTGCCGGAGACTTTGCTGTGGGCGAGGGAGAGCGATTGGAGCACCTACCTCGAAAGAGGCCCCGACCAAGGGTGGGAGGGGGGCTGGCTGGCCGTGGATCCGGCGGTGGCCCCTGGCCGGAGATCCCGTCGGCGCCCTCCTCCATACTCGCTCGCTCGGTGTTTTTCCCCACCCTCTTGTGCTGCGGTAGAAACAGAGAGAGATCAAAATAAGCAAAAAGGTATTTTAGTCGTTTCGCGTGGGAAAGCTAACTGGAGACATAAACGGAAGGCTACAGAAGTAGGGGATTTTCATTTTCGGGCCACACAGGTAAGTTTAAAAAAAAAAGGTCATAAAAAAACATTTTATTTAAGGCCATACAGGTAAATATCTCTATATAATATCTCCTACCCTAATAATAAATCTATTGATGGCGCATAATAAGCCTCAAATTATTTCTAATGTAATAAATGTTTGACATCTTTACGTAGTATAAACCTTAAAAACAAGCTCTCCTAATACAGCTTTGAAGAGGGACCTTTATTTTTTTGTAAAAATAAAAGCTAGACCTTTATTTTTGGTCACCAATTGGCATTGCTGCGGTCAATTAGGTAGCATAACAATTTTTTCTCTATTTAAAAATATTTAGAAATTTTCTAAAATGTTTCTTAAAAGTACTCTATCTTTCAAAAATAAAGCAAAGCACATCCTCCCAGTTATCCTGAACAAGTGAACACAAACAAATACCAAAAAAGCAGATCCATCTTAATATCGTAATTCATTTCAATTTCCCTCAAGAAATTAATTTAATTCTGCAGTTTCCTCAATTTCTCATGGTCTCGCTCGCTGCCTCCTCCTCCTCCCTGCTCGTGCTGCCTCAGCTGCTACAGCTCCACCTCGGCCCTCTCGTCACTCTTGGGCCACGGCCGGCCTCCACCACCGCCCGCCCACCGCTCCTCTCTCGTCTCCCTCACTGGAAGAAGAACCCGGCTGTCGCCCACTCAGAACTCCTCCGAGTGAGGCGAGCCTCACTCGCTTTGCTGGTTGCTGCTATGCCTTCCTTCCCGCTCGGGGAGTCCACCGCCACCGGACAGCAATCACCACCTAGTGCCTGTCCTCGATGCCCATGGCGCCCGACCGCCTTTAGAAGCCTTCCTCGCAGCCACCCGTGGCGCCATCGCGCACCTTCACCTTCCCGTCATCCACATCCCCGGATCCCATTCCGGTCCCAATCCCATCCCCAACGAACCCGAGGCCGATTGCTGCTCCACCTCCACGTCGTCGTCACCAACTTCCTCCACAAGCCCCTCAAGTCATTCGCCAGTGCTTCAAGCCCAAGCAAGCGGGGGAGGCAAACAATCCCCGCCGCTCCACTGGGATCACAACAAATGGCGCTACCCTCAAAGCAACAATCGGAGCTCCCCTTTCTGCATTATGCGTTCGATGCCTTTGCCCACAACCTCGCACTTGCTTGAGGATGCTGCAGCGAAAGGTGAAGAATTTGGTTTGGCTACCCGACAGCTCGAGCAATTTGTGGTTCTCGGGAAGATAATCGATGGGAAGAGGGCCGATTCGATGGGGTTCCTTTCCAACTGGGCTTTGCAAAGGTTGGGGCACCGCCGCCACGAGCAAGGATCATGGGTGGTGCGTCCCCTGTCCTGCCCCAGCACCAAAGCACCATGGCGACCGGGAGGATGGTGGTGGAATTGGGGACAGCGACCAGGAGGATGGTGCTGGAATTGGGGACAAGGCGATGGACAATGCTAGTGGTACACAAGAGCCAAAGACCTGAGATTGCTGCGCCTACCCGCTTAACATTCCTTTGTCGAATGTGGAGCGTCTGCGGTCTCTGTTGTCAGCGAGCTTCAATCGATGAGAACTCATTGAATTAGTCCCGCAAACCGGTGAGCAGATCATCAACATTGGCGGATGCACATCCCGACAAGAAGAAGCTTTTCTCGATGCAAGACTTCTTCAGATATCACGAAATTGAAGGTAACATCATTTTCATTTTCGAACAGAGAGGTGTCCTCATTTCAAAGATGTAGGCTCATGGTCTGCAATTGCAAATCATGCATTGATTTTACCATATGGCACCATGGGGGGAATCACCAAATTAGGTCGGTGACCGTCACCTCTGTAGAAGGCTGAAATGCCGCTTTTTATGTCGAAGTTCTTATATTGTGCACAATTTAATCACTAGACTTATTCAAATATGCTGATTCTAAAATCAGTCTTGATGTTATCCATTATTGTACCACTTGTATCTAGAAAATTTAGGTGAGCTACTATCAAAGATATGCCTATCGGACATTTTAATTGATCCATCTGTTATTTTTCTGTTAGTACACTTTTGGTAAGGCTACGGTCTATATCCATCTTAGGATTTTCAAACTATGGCTCTAATCGGTGCCTCGGCAAATTCAAAGATTCTCGCATAACATAGTGATACTTATGAAAAGGTTGCTCTTTTTATGTATTAGCTGGATCATAAGGTGATATTTGTAGGCGATGTTCTGTTCTTTGCTGCAGAAAGCGATTCTTTGAAGAGTTAGACAGAGATGGTGATGGCCAAGTCACTCTAGAAGATCTCGAAATTGCAATGAGGAAGAGGCGGTTACCAAGGAGGTATGCTAGAGAATTGTTCCGCCATACAAGAAGCAACTTCTTTTCGAAATCAATTGGGTGGAAGCAATTTTTATCCTTGATGGAACAGAAGGAGGCAACCATTCTCCGAGCATATACCACGTTGTGTTTGAGCAAGTCTGCGAACACTTCACAAGAATCAAATTTTGACTTCCTTGAAAGGTGCTGGACTTCCGGCCAATGAAGATAATGCCATTGCCATGCTACGGTATCTAAATTCTGATTCAGAAGCATCAATCTCATATGGCCATTTCCGGAACTTCATGCTTCTACTTCCTTCAGAACGCCTTGAGGATGATCCTCGGTATGTCTGATGTATCCTGTTAGAAGAAACTTGTGCTTGAATTGGCTTTAGTGAATTGTGACTCTGCAACTATCACCAATTCTGACTATCTTTCAACATTATATGGTGCTCTCTTTTCCATCTTACCTTTTCTTCACTTACAAATGCATTCAGGAACATCTGGTTTGAAGCTGCTACTGTTGTTGCTGTTCCCCCACCTATAGAAATATCCACAGGAAGTGTTTTGAAGTCTGCTTTAGCTGGAGGTCTTGCAAGTGCGCTCTCTACCTCTCTGCTGCATCCTATTGATTCAATGAAGGTACAGTACCATGCTTGTTTATACCGTTTTAGTTCAAACAAGTGATTCAATAAAGCACATGACTATGATTGCCCATCACAAATCAATAAGCATGTGGTTTGCCAAGGCATTATCTGTAACCTCATGGATTAGTTTAAGATAACAGTTCAGTCTAGCGACAAAAATACCCAAATTCAATTCTTTATCTTTTTTGCTGTATCAGACACGTGTCCAAGCATCTACACTCTCATTTCCAGAGCTCATTTCAAAGCTTCCACAAATTGGGCTTCAGGGATTGTATCGAGGTTCTATCCCAGCAATTCTTGGCCAGTTTTCAAGGTCTGTGCTATTTAATTGGTTTATATGCAAAATTCTTTGTAGGCTACAAAACTCAAATCCTGTCATTTGCAGCCATGGTTTGAGGACAGGAATCTTTGAAGCAAGCAAGCTTGTATTAATTAATGTCGCTCCGACACTTCCAGAGATTCAGGTACGATTTACTACTCCAGTACTTGTGCAAACTCTATATTCTCTATAATAAAGGGACCTGGAGCACCTTATAAATCTCATGATAGAACAGAACTTAGTATTTGTAACAGAAACTTTCTGGTCTCCGCAATAATTGTTGTGCTTTGTGGAATTGCTTGATGATTGGCTTTTTGTTCCATAGGTGCAATCAATGGCTTCCTTCTGCAGCACAGTCCTAGGCACTGCAGTCCGTATACCTTGTGAGGTTCTTAAGCAGCGTTTGCAAGCTGGAATCTTCAACAATGTAGGGGAGGCAATTGTTGGCACCATGCGACAAGATGGCCCAAAGGGATTTTTTCGTGGCACTGGGGCCACACTCTGTCGCGAGGTTCCGTTCTATGTCGCTGGAATGTGCCTCTATGCAGAAGCTAAGAAGGTATCCTCAGTTTTTTATTGATTCTATGTTTTCACCAGACCTTCAAGTGGCATTCTCAAATCCCTATGTTGTTAACAAGTCAGATACTACCTTTGGCTGATTTTGAGCTTATTATCAGTTCTACAGTTTGGAAAACCCCCCCAAAAAATTTACCATTCCTCTGACTCTAGAAAGGAAGGGCGGGCCTGGTGCAAGCGGTAGAGTCTTACCGCTTGTGACCGGAAGGTCCCGGGTTCGAGTCGTGGTCTCCTCGCATTGCACAGGCGAGGGTAAGGCTTGCCACTAACACCCTTCCCCAGACCCCGCATAGAGCAGGAGCTCTCTGCACTGGGTACGCCGTTTTTTCTGACTCTAGAAAGGCAGCCTAATGGAAGTTTGTTAGGGGGTGTTTGATTCTTTAGTCACTCCTAACATTCATGTCACATCGAATGTTTAGATACTAAAAATGAGCATTAAATATAGATTAATTATAAAACCAATTACATAGATGGAGGCTAATTTGCGAGACGATTTTTAAGCCTAATTAATCCGTCATTAGCACATGTTTACTGTAGCACCACGTTGTCAAATCATGGACTAATTAGGCTTAAAAGATTCGTCTCGCAAATTAGTCGCAAGTTATGCAATTAGTTTCGTAATTAATCTATATTTAATACTCCATGCATGTGTTCAAACATTCGATATGACAGGAATTTTAGGAGTTCCTGCAGGAACCAAACAGGCCCTTACTTGCATATGTAAATACCTGCGGCTTGATTTATTTCTTTGTTACACATGAAAGTTGGTACCAAATGGAGCTGCGTTAGGGGTAGAAATTTTCACTCATTTAGTCAGTTACCACTTACTAGTGCCACTAGTGGTTTTGATTGTCATAATTTGTAAATAATAGCTGTATCTGTCATGTCAGTACCACTATGCCTTGCTTATTGACATATTTAATGATGTCCGCCTTGGTTTTGCAGGCAGCACAGCATGTTTTGAAGAGAGACTTGGATGCATGGGAAACAGTGGCAGTGGGAGCATTGTCTGGAGGACTTGCGGCAATAGTGACCACTCCATTTGACGTGATGAAGACGCGGATGATGACTGCCCCTCCAGGCACACCAGTGTCTATGCAGATGATAGTATTCTCCATCCTTAGAAATGAGGGTCCACTTGGGCTTTTTAAGGGCGCGATCCCCCGCTTCTTCTGGATTGCCCCTCTTGGTGCAATGAACTTTGCAGGCTACGAGCTTGCCAAGAAGGCGATGATCGAAGATGAGAGCAAGTCCAGAGAATCAATAGAGGAGAAGAAAATCATGGTGGTTTCCAGAGGATAACCTACCTTTCACCTGGTTAACATGTATGGTGCAAAGAAACTGAAACCAGACAACAGGAAATTTTGTGCAGAGAAGCAACAGAACACCTGCCATCTTCCTTGTGAATCCAATTTTTAGGTTGTCATACATGTATGGTGCAAAGAAACTGAAACCACACAACAGGAAATGTTCCGTCCATATTGCAGAGAAGCAACAGAACATCTGCCACCTTCCTTGTGAATCCAATTTTTAGGTTGTCATATTCCCCCCTCCGAGTGAAATTTGCCGAATTTCCATCCCCGTAGGCCTTGAGATGGCTGTATAGTACAGTAGACGAGAAAAGGACTAGAGGATAGAGGCACTGCTGGAGCTGCTGTTCTTTTGCTGGACAGGACAGCTCGCTTCTTGTTTGTTGTTTAAGGATGATCCATAGCCTTCCTTGTTAAACCTGATGTAAATTTGCTGCTGTACTTGCCCTGGTTACCAATTGGCTTTGACCTGATTGTTTTTGGTGGTTGAAACAGACTAATAAAGTGATAAGGAGAACAAATAAAAAAATGTAATGTTGAAGACAGTCCTTGCACTGTTATCTGTTGGAGAAAATGAATAACAAGGGGAATAAATAAGGAGGAATTGGAGTGAATTTCTAATTGTAGCCTTCCATGACCATAGTATTCTATCTTCTGAACTTTGCTAATAAAAAAATATACTAGCACTAGTGTACTGTAGTGAAACCTCTTTTGATCATACTAACCTTTTTTTTTGCAAATTAAATTGACCCGACTTGTAGGACGCAAGGCAACGGGGAAAAGCAAGGCCATTTTAAAAGCCGCTGGCTGGTTTTGTTTGAATGAAAAAGCCAAAATTGATTCCAGGTGGACTCGGTCGAAGGCGCAGCCCAACAAGATTGACCCTGAACTTGTCGACGGAGGTGAGGTGTCCAAGCAACCTTTCTTGTTTGCCAATTGCCATCAGCTCTCTCTCGGAAAACTAGCTCTGGCCTCTGGCCGCCTCCCAAATTCCATTTCCAATCCTAGTTAGATGGAGGCGAGAAGGCGATCCAGCTCCACTGCATCCTTTCCTCCCTGCGTCTCCGTCGACTCGGATTTGGATTGGGTTCCCCTGCAGCTGCAGCTGCAGCTAGGCTACGCTTCGCTCCGGGGACCTGGGCCCTGGCGTGCTCAGCTCCGTCCATCCCAAATCCCTTCCATCAAGCTAGGTGAGTAAATAATTCCTACCCTTGAGAGGTCTTGAGGAATTGCCCCTCCTGATATATCGTATAAGCTTGCTTCTTCTTCTCCTATAAATCCCTCATCCCTTAAGCTTGCTTCTTCTTCCATCCCAAATCCCTTAAGCTTGCTTCTTCTTCTCCTATAAATAAAATCTATTTATTTATGTAGGAGTATAGTTCGTAACTACTAGATATTACCAAGAAAATTAGCATAATAGTTCTTGCCTTAGCGTAAAACTGAACTGCTGAATGGAATCCGTGTGCTTAATTCAGTTGTTATATATACTGCATATATATGTTCATCAATCAAGCAACTCCTCCTCTGAGCAGAATTGGCCGTGTCTCTTTCTTCTTGTGCAAAATTTTCTCATCCACCACAAATTGAAAAGGAAGGTGTTTTTTAATGTCTGCCATCATTCAACTATTGGTTTTTAATAATTGCGTTAATCCTTAATCATGTAGTAACTGGCTAACTGCAGAATTACAAAGTGAATGTCTTGTAACATCACGATGCACCGTTGGCCATTTCGTTTCACGAAACTCGATTCAGACCAAGTTCTACAAATTGACAAGTTACCTAGTACTAGTGCTTTCCTGTACTCTGCTGTACTGGCACTGATTATTCATTATTTGGCATTTTACTTTTAGATTGAGGGAGGCTAGGAGCAGCTGCTGCTTCCATTCATCGGAGCTCCTCCTCATCAGTTAGCTGGTACAAGATGGTCGTTTTGGGTGGTGTCACCGATGATCCCAGACATAAACTTGGTGACAGTGTTGATCATTCACGCCAACAACATCCAGCAGGATTACCGGATAAACCCAGTAATGTCAGTTATGACAATGGAAATGGGCACAACCCATACAAGTACTACTACGATGCAGGATCTGAGTCCGGTTGGCAGTTCACCTCATCACCTTCCTCTTCCTCCACCCGACAAATGCTTGGAGATGGGCACAGAAATAATGGGTCGTCTTTCCGCTCGTCGTTAGCATCATCTCAGACTCAGAGACCATCATCATCTTCTTCAAGTCGACGTTTCAGGGTGCCGTTTGTGAAGAAGATCGACTGGGGCTCTCTGTGGGACAAGTCCAAGGAATGGATTCGGAACCCCATGAACATGGCTCTGTTCGTCTGGATCCTCGCCGTGGGCGTATCAGGCGCCATCCTCTTCATGGTGATGACGGGGATGCTCAACCGCGTGCTGCCAAACAAGCCGCAGCGAGACACGTGGTTCGAGGTGAACAACCAGATCCTGAACGCGCTCTTCACCCTCATGTGCCTCTACCAGCACCCGAGGAGGTTCTACCACCTCGCCTTGCTGTGCCGGTGGAGAGCCGGCGACATGCATCAGCTCCGGCAAGTATACTGCAAGGACGGCACCTGCAAGCCCAACGAGAGGAAGCATATGATGGTTGTCATCCTGCTGCTCCACTTGAACTGCTTCGCCCAGTATGCGCTTTGCGGCCTCAACCTTGGTTACCGACGGCCACAGCGTCCGGTGATCGGAGTGGCCCTCACCATATCGGTTGCCATCTGCGCGCCGGCCGTCGCTGGGCTGTACAACAACCTCAGCCCTCTTGGCAAAGACTACGAGGCACAAGTCCCACCGGAGGTAGACGAAGAGTCACAGCTCCAACAGAAAACGCCCGAGACTGAGAGGAGGTACTCATTGGTGCCACGACAAGGCCATGGCGAGTCCGCCGGCAGCTCGCCGCAGTGGGTCGGCGGGCTGTTCGAGGATATGTGGGACGACATGTCGCTGGCGTACCTGTCAGTGTTCTGCAGCTGCTGCGTGTTCGGGTGGAATATGAGCAGGCTCGGCTTGGGCAACATGTACGTCCACATCGCCACCTTCGTGCTCTTGTGCCTGGCGCCTTTCTTCATCTTCGACCTGGCGGCCATCAGCGTGGACGATGAGGCAGTTAGAGACGCGCTGGGGCTGGCCGGCATCTTCCTCTGCGTGCTCGGCCTGCTCTACGGCGGCTTCTGGAGGATCCAGATGCGCAGGAGGTTTGGTCTCCCCGAGAACCGCGCCTGCTGCGGCAAGCCGGACCTCACCGACTGCATGCAGTGGCTCTGCTGCTACTCCTGCACCCTGGCTCAGGAAGTCCGCACCGCCGACGCCTACGAGGTGGTGCTGGTGGTGCAGGACACGCTGCAAGACAAGCAGCCGATGCCGATGCATCACCGGCACCATCCAACTCCAACAGCTGCTGCTGTAAGGTCACTGGATGACGGCGTCACCGTGCCCCCTTCGTCAGTGTCAGCTACACGTACATAGGTAGCAGTAGCAACTTTTGGGACTTGGGAGTATGTGGTAGCAGAATGAGTTGCCTCTCCACACCTACACAAGGGATGTGACACACTAACTTTAATTTGGTTCTCTAAAGATCAGGTGTCATTTCAATGTATCCATACATCCCAGTCCATGCAATCTATTAGAGCAAGCAATGCGAAATCGATATTGTATTATGAAAGAAGTCATTCCTGTTCAACTACAAACTCAGACCTTGTTTGGTATGGCTCCCAGGTGCTCCAGCTCTTCCTGGAAAACATTGTAGGAGCATTGTTGAGCACTATAGTGTGGAGCGGTTTATTTTCGACTAAAAAATTAACTTGAAAGAGGAGCCGATAGAGCCACGCAGCCTGTTCGCTTGTTGGTTTCAGCCAGCCCAAACCAGCTAGCCAACAGTGTTTTCCTCTCACAATAAACTAGCTCAAACCAGCTCAGAAACCAACCAGCGAACAGGCCGACGGTTTCGAGCTCTACCTGCTCCGTGCTACAGTGCTGTTGCAGCAATAACCAGGGCCGGAGCCGGAGCACAGACTAAACGACCCCTCCATGTATATACAAGTTTTAGCTGCTCAACTACCAACTCAAAATCTACCTGCGCCAAGACATCTATTATTCATAGATAATGGATCTGAGTACCACCGAGATAATAATTGAATTAATTCAGTCCAAGGAAACTAACGACACATGCCTCCCCAGCATCTCACTCAAGGACATCAAGGGCGAACACTTGGGGTATGGGCAATAAATCCTTTGGCTTGGATGGATGTGTATATGTTCTTCCTTCAACCGTTGCGCCATAATCTCCAAAAGCCGTATCGATAGCAATGCTTTTGAGCCCTCCACGGTGAGCTTGGTAGTGCAACCAAGTTGTGGACAGCCTGGGGCGGCCATTCCCCCAAGTAACATAACTTCCATGTGCTTCTTCATGCAGACAAGGCAAAATCGATGTGCGCAATCTCATCATCTAGTCCCTCTTTTGCTAGCTTCACCACATTGTCGACATGGCCGTCGTTAATGAGTGATATTTCACATCGCTCAAATTGCTTCCGCACTAACAGAGCCTGACTTATCATATCTGTAAGCTTCTCCCCTGTTGGACGTGAAAGCCCAAGCATCTGCAATAATCAAGACGGTGTTAGGATTGTTTGCAAGAATGCCTACTGATATCAGGCTGACATTACAATAAAATATTAATTCAAGCATTTCACCGTTGGAGTTTATATGTACTAAATTATTCTAACAGATCACAGCCGGTGATTAAAGATGGCAATGGGTATCAGAAACCCGATGGGTTTTTGGCCCTGTTCGCTTATCTTATAATCCGTACTTTTTAGCTTGTTTTTTCTATCGAAACAGTGTTTTTCTCTCACAACAAATCAGCCGGAAGAGTGTTTCGGCTTGTTTTTTCAGCGAAAGCAAACGGGGCTTTTACTTTATTAAGGCAAGGGTACAGGTCAATTTCTCTACTCGTGGATTTATTAATGGGCAAAAAA